GATATAGATATTGAGACAGGGTCTTGTCCAGTTGCCCAAGCTGGCGTTGAGCTTGTGTTACTCTTGCCTCAGCCTCCCTACTAGCTGGGATTACAGAAACAGGCCACTATGTCCAACCTGATCTCATTTTTCTTGAGCTTTCTAGTGTCATCAAGCAATTTATTTAAATAATAAATATTTTTTTCTTACTTTTTCTATTCAGGAGCTCAACAATACTTGTCAGCATGCTAATTAGGGACTAGAGCAAATGTTTCTGAGAACAGGAAGTTTGGGTGTATTAGAAAAGCCATCTTTCTGAGGCTCCAAGATTCCTTTTCTAATTCTAATAGTGTTGGGCTTCTTAGGGGACTTGAACCTCTCTTGTTGGGCCATATAACAGTGCCTTGGCTCAGTGAAGCCTATGACTGTTCACTGTAGTTATGACAAGGGGAACTTCTGCCTTTGCCCTCTTCTCAGTGTAAGAAAACCTGACTAGGCCATACAGGGCAGCACTCGTGGATAGGAAAGGCTTCCTGTCTGAGCATGCAGTAGAAGGGACAGAAGGCTAAATAAAGGCCAAGCTCTGGGTGGAGGGTTGCCGGGTGAGGAGTGGTATAGATTAAGATGAAAAATACCAGGATCTAATAGCAGTGGTCTAAATATTCTGTACTGGAATTATGGAAAACATAAGGTCCCCACCAAGGGCAAGAAGTCATCCTGGCCACAGGAGCATGCCAAAGCTTTAGTCTCATGAGAAAGGGAAGAGAGTGAAGAAAGTCTGAATTAGGGTAGATGAGCCATCTTCCATAAGTGCAGCCACCATTGATACCATGTTGTGTAGGCCCATGCAGTTTTGGAACCAGTAGTTGTTCTGAGAGGGAGAAAGATCAGGAAGAAGTGCCCACGACCTTGGTGGGATCTAATGGAGAGGGAAAGCCCACCCAGGAGAAAGCAGAAAGCCAGCAGCTGGACTCTGTAGCTCCCACCCAATTCACAGGGACTGGTGGATATCTTCTGACCGTAGCACTTTATAGACAACCCAGTAGAAGATATTAAAGATGAGAAAAGTAAATGGGAAGACAGCCCGGGAGATGGTGTCAATTCTCTTAGCTCGGTCCACGTAGAGTTTCCTCATGGTTTCTCCCTCTTTTAGGAGAGGAGCTGGAGGCTGGGGACTATAAATACTAGAGTCTTTCATTGGACCTCCATCCCTTCCCTGTAAGCAATGGCCCAGGCCATAGCCACGGAAGTAGAAACGGCTTTCTCGAATAATGTCTTCCTCCTGAAATTATAAGGCAAAAAGGGCCAAATTTGAGGTTAAAACTCGAAGGCAGAAGGGTAGAGATCAGTCCATACACAAATCGCCCATAGATGACACAGTGCAGACAAGGTGACTGAGAACACAGGCTCACATCTCTGATGGCCACAGAACTATGCATGTGGTAGTTGTATGCAAAGCACCTATACATGGTGACATATAGTGTATGTTATGATTCCACTTACAATAGAGGTCCCCAGCCGCCTTTTTAAAATATATAAAATCATTTAGGTCTTACTAAAAGCCAATGAAGTGGTATCTATCATAAGAAAGCACTTCAATGTCAAGTTATCTCTGGCTAGTAATAAACTGAAGAACAAAATCACCAGACAATAAAGCTTGAGATATTTAGATGTAGTGAAATTTAATGAAATTTCCAAATCTCCAGAATTAGCTTTCCTTATACATATATTTAAAAATTTAACTTCATGCTGAAAGTTCCAAAAGTTTTAAGTAACCTAATGAGTTTTTGAAAGTAGAGTAAGTAAAGCTGATCTGCTCCTGCAGATATGTGTGGCAATTTTGCCATAGGGATTGATATATTTATTATCTAATGAATATTCTGTTCATGTGCCTTCCATGCCTTGTAATAAATACATTGACACCACAGGAATAAATTTTATATAAGCACTAAGTTATGTGGCAAACTACAGAAAATCTATTTATCTACTAGTCAGCTCACAGCCTTAACACAGCCAGCAGCTAGAAAGTAAGGGCAAATGATACTGATTAAAAGGGATGGAAGTCAGACATGGTGGTGCATGACTGTAATCTCAGCCCTCTGAGAGGCTGAGCCAGGATCACAAGTTTGAGCCCCACCCACCTAGAGAACTTAGTGATTCAGGGAGATCCTATCTCAAAAGAAAACAGGGCTGGGCATTGTAAGTCAATGCAAAGGCCCTGAATTCAATCTCTAGTACCAATGCATGAACACAGGCACGCATGTACACCCCATAGTATGATCAAAAAAGAAAATGTGATATTTATATACAGTGGAATACTACTCTGCCATTTTTAAAAAACTTGAATTATTAGTAGGAAAAGATGTACCTTGAGATTTACCATAATGGTAAGTGAAATAAATCAAACACATAGGCTTGAATATCACAGTTTCTCTATGTAAGAAACTCAAAATATAAATAAAGAGAAAAATTAAAAAGCAGGTAATAGGAAATAGGTAAATATTTTGCAAAGGGAAAGGGAAGTAAGAGATGGAGGTGGGGGGAAGGGAAAGACATGAAGAAAGAATTAAAATGTGTTGTGTACATGTGCCAACTTCTATGCGAAATGTCATTATGTATGGCAAATATGTACTAATACAAAATTGAAAAATTGAGAAAATAGTGAATGTTTAAGATAAAAATAGATTATAGTAAAACACACATTGTTACTAATCACCCTCGAAATACTCTCCCTGTGTTTAAGTACACCAATCCCATCATTCTTGGCCTTTTTATCATTTATTTATTTATTTGGTACAGAGTCTTGCTATACAGCTCAGACTTGTAATGATCCTCCTGCTACAACCTCCCCAGCACTGGGATTATAGGCATGCACCACCACACCCAGTTTCGGTGGCTGGCTCAGCATACCTGGGTTCCAGGGCCCGTGCAGCATGTGGTACTAGGAATCAAATCTGGGTCCTTCTGCTTGCCAGGTAGGTACTTAGAACTCTGAGCTGTCCCCTCAGCCTCTCTTAGACCTTTTTGAAGTAGTTCTAGAAAGCCCTCTTTTGTATCATTACTTGCATTGCGCAGCTATCCTGATGTCCTAAATTGACTCAGAACACTTACCTTTCAAGGTCATTTTGACTTTGTGGAAGATCCTGAAGTCTTATAGGGCGAGATCCAGTGAATAAGGTGAGTAAGGACATATTATAATGGTTTATGACCCTGCCTTCCTATTGGGTGGCCCTTGACAGCAACATTCACTGAATTTTTGATAACACCTTTTAAAGATGCTCACAAAAGGGGGAGAACCAAAGCCCCTAGTAATCAACAGTTTCACTTGTACACTAGGCCGTTGGACCCCCACTCAACTATTTTCTCTTATTTTATTTAAAACTAATACCTCACAATAAAAATATATATTATGTGTTATAAAAATATACTAACAAAATCATAATGATCCTAACAAGTCTTACTTTATCTACTTCTGAAGGACAGAGTTAAAGAACATAGTTTCAAAGATAGTTACAATTTTTAAGTTACTGAAGGTTTTGGAATGAAAGCTTATACAGTCTAAGAAATCAGTTAAAATGAATGTCCCCTTTTAAAATGTCTTGGTTTGCCCAGAATCAAGGGGATTCTTGAGTAAGTGCTAAAACTGGCAAATTCTGAAACAAATCAGAGTTAGTTACACTACGGGTACCTTAGGTAGTTGCTATAAAGAGTAAGAACAAGATATATTTATATTGTTTGGATATGACATTTTTAAAAGCTACATCATAGGATGTTTATATTGAGGCCTCTGCAGCTATGATAGTATATTGAAAATTAGCTTCATAGCAGGTGTTGGTGTGGCATATCCTTGAAATCTGATTGTCACATCACCAGAAGATTATTACATTACCTGTCCTAAGGGTGACCTGCTAGTAAGCACCAGAGACAGGCAAACTCAGCACAGAATCTTACCAGCAGATTCTAGCCCTATTCTCTTGTTGGTGGACTTATAGTCCAAATTTGGACATTTGTCTAGTTCACCACTATATCCCCAGAGTGCCTAGAACCTGACAAGCACTCATAGATAGTATCTGTTGAATAAGTAAATGGAGAGATGAGCCATGCACTTCTGAATAGAGAAAAAGGAATAGCCTTTTGTTTTCATGAAGCCAGCATCCACTCAGGGTCTCAAACAAAAGAGTGTGTTGAGCTGGGGAGATAGCTCAGCAGTCTGAGTGTCTGCCTGACAAGTGCAGGGACCTGGGTTTGATCCCTGATACTGCGTACAGTGCTGGCCCCAGAACCCCAGGCATGCCATGTTGGCCACCAAAACTGGGCATGGTGGTGCACATCTGTAATCCCAGCACTGGGGAGGCTGAGATAGGACCCTGTACAAAATAAAAAGATAAAAAAAATCTGTGTTTGCTCATCAGATAGCTTTGATGGCCTATCATCAATTTGTTACAGTTTTGTGGAGAGATTTGTATGCATCCAGGTCACAAGCAGTTGACTACTGTGGTTGTACTTTGAACGTGAGTTGTTGTGGTAGGACAGATTTAGCTCTTTGCTTTTTACCCAGTTCCTACATGGGAGGTTTGCTAGGCCCATTATAGAGATAAAGAAACAGAGGTGAGCAAAATACCTTCCATGGAATCCCTCCCACTTCCCAGTCCATGTTTCCTCAGATCACTGATTCCCACTGCTAACCTGCTCTCTAGCACAGAATATACTGAACATATTTGAAAGAAACTCTGAAGGAGAAAGTTGTATTGCTATGGCTATTTCTATAGGCTCAGTTATTTCCACTTTTCTTCCATCACAGTAAATCTAAAGGGCATTATTTGGAAATATTTTCCAGGCTGCAAAAAGCCATTTTTATACAGGATAGAAAATAGAGCCAATAGAACAAGCTGCTCTAGGCCTTCTTCATTTTAGTATCAATCTCTTGTAGTTAGGAGAGCAAATGTCAGTGGCCTGAAACCCAAGAGGTGGAGATTCTAGATTTGGGTGTCATCTACATAGACCAAATTCAGTATCGTTGTGTGTGCAGAAACATGTAATTAGGAGGCTTAGAAAGTCATATTTGGGCCATAAGTATGACTCTGACTTTTGTAGCTATGAAATATGACTTTATTTGTTCTAGTTATGTATAGAGAAAGAAAGCTGAAAAGCTGGGCAGGAAATATATTCCAAAACCAAGCTGGAGAGGGAAGGCATAGCAGGGAGTGATGTGAAAGGGTAACACATATAGAAGTGAGAGTGGCAGGAAGAAAAGAGATGGCAAATTAAGAGAAGGAGCTAAGTAAAAGACAAAGGTGAATAGAAAGGTTCTGGGACCAACTGACCAAGAGCAAACGACAGTATTTTGAAATTTCTCCTAGTTCTCATGCTTTTTTTTCTCTTAAAAATGGTAAGGCTTTCTTTGTCCAGTTTGATAGGTAGCCCTTGCCAGTCAGACAAAGTTGGTAAGCTGGGTTATGTGTCTGCTATGTTTTGAGCCTGGGGTTAAGGCCCCGCTGAGGAGATGCAGAAGAGAACTTCATTCTGGGAAGACAAAACACAAGCACATAGAAAAAAGTGCAAACATTTTAAACAGTAGCACGGAAGGAGGCCACCATGTAGTAGACGGGTGGTTAAGGAGAGGTTACATAAGGAAGAGATTAAATCTGGCCTGAGTGAATAGCCAGTTGCCTCTTAGAATACTGTCTTGCTCTTGGCCAAGAGCTCCCTGAAAATCAACTGACCCCCATACCAAGGGCTCCTCTCAGACTGAAGACTTCTGCTTCTCTAGCAAGAACACTGAGGCCCAGAGAGAGGCTCAGGTAATAGATGAACTATTCATTAACTTGTTTAGTCTCCTTGGTGCCTCCAGGATCCCTGTTCCAATTTCATTGAGATGGCAATAGCTTTAAGGAGGCGAGACAAAGGATATCATTAATTGCACAGGTTTGATTTTCAGGTTTTATTCACATTAATGATGAACTTCAGTCCATTTTCATGCAGCCCCAAAGTCCCTAGCAAGGCTCAGGCTGCTATTATGACTTCATAATAATTGAGCAGTGGTTATGACAGGCTCCATTATGAGCTCAGGATCAACCTATGTATAATGGGAGGTGACAGTCTGTGGCCAGTTGGAGGTTGGGTGAGTGTAGGGAAGGAGGTGGGGCTAGTGTCATCCTGAAGTAGCTCTATAATCTTTCGCTGGTGGAACACCACACAGGCAGTTGAGCTGAAAAAGAACATCGGACAGGTTTGCAGTCTGCTCTTCCTTTCTCAGGTAGGTATTGGGAAGGCACTAAGATCAAAACCCCTGTGAGGACAAGATTTTGGTAATCAAAGGCATATTTTACTCAACTAAAGTAAGACTCAGGATAGTTAACTTAGAAATGGGAACAACCTCTTTTCTTACCCACTTCCAATTCTCTCTCCGTTTTCCCCAACTCTCAATGTAGGATAGGAAAAACATTTAGATCTCTTAAAAGAATGAGTACTAATTTTTTAATGCTTGAGATGCAGTTGTAGATAAATCCACTAGAGGGCCAATAAATTTCTACATGAGACGGGAGCACTGTCCTCCACAGAAGGACCTTACAGGGAATATGAAAATATACAGACAGCGTGTGAGACATTATTACTGTGGACATTGTGTAAATATACATAGGAGTGGCTCAGCAGCAGCTGAAGTAGAAAATGGGGTTTTCGGGAGAGGAAGAGTCCTTATCCTGATGTGGCTCAGATAGGCTACAGCCAGGACTTTGTCCCCTGTGATACAAAGGTTCTAACCCAGGTATGTGCATACCAGGCAAGTGCTCTGCCACTGAACTACATCCCTGCCCCTGGAGCCAGCATTTTAACAATGAGTTTCTATCTCTAAGAGAGCATTGTGTGCTTGCCCCTTTGGTTTTAAAGCCTCTGGATTAGGAAGGAAACATGGAGTCAGAATTCAAGACAGATCAGAACTCTATCTCTAAAGATTAAGCAACTAGTGTATAGCTTAGTAAAGGCTTTCTGCTTTGCTCATAATTGGAAATTGCTTCTGTGAGGGTGGCTTAGGCATCTCTGTTGTTATGAGAGCTTACCTAACACCTTTGTCTAGGCAACTGAGAGTAAACTGCCTCTGTTGTCATGATGATATATGTCCTCTTATATTTCCCCAGGTGACCACTCTACAGTAGAAGAAATGGTGTTTTCCAGCCAGAATGAGGAAGAACAACAGCTTAACCTCAACAACTCTGATGCACCCAATGAAGATCAAGAAGCCCAGCTGCAAGAGGCAAGTAGAAGTCTTTCAGTTCCATCTTATGGCTATCCTCTTCTAATGCTCCCCTAGAAAGGCACCGAAGTGACCAACTTGAATTCTTAACCACTGGTTAGTGTAGAACAGAACTAAAGTAGCTTCTTTCTGTGTGTGGAAACACCAAAATACTACTGATCAAAGCAATGTCATATGAATTGACTTGATAATGTTTGAATACTAGGTAACATTTTCAGTGCTATGTTCCAGATACTAGACCCACACTATTAACCACTCTATTATACCACCTTTTAGGGGCTGATGTCCCATTGGAGAGATAAGGAAATAGAGTTAAATGGGTTAAACTACTTAGCTAACTGTGGCCAGCCTAGAACTGTAACTTGAAGTCCTAGCACCCTTAGGTTGGGTCCTGGTTTGTGGGAGGAGGGGTAAGGAGGAAGTCACCCAAAGGAAAAAGGAAGCTCCCCAACCCTGTCATACTCACTATGCGTTGGCACCTCTGCCTTCTTCGAAGTCTCATGAATTCCTTATGCTGACGAGAGACAAAATTGACAGCAGCATACTCCAGCAGGGCAGCGAACACGAACAGCAGACACACAGCCATCCAGATGTCAATTGCCTTCACGTAGGACACCTGCAACATCAGTTGGCAGAACAGTCAGCCTTCTCGGAGCCTTTCCATGGACAGTCGACTGGATCCCCAGTCCGTATCGATTGCCTCCTGTTATTCACTTTTATCCTGAAATTCTTCTTGTTTTTAAAGAAGCTCTCCGGGATTTATCCCATCAACTGATGGCCCACATCATGAAGATTGAGCTGTCCATCATCCTCCAGCTCTCTGCACTCTCCACCCCCCATGTCTGTCAGCCTTTCCCCCCTATATTTCTCCTTTCTTCCACTGTTCTTCTTGCATTTCTCCGTCTGCTTCTGATTCTTACTCTTTTCCCTCGTGTCTTCTGATACTTTCCTTTCAATAAATAGCAACGATCATGCACGCAGCTTTGTTTGTTCTCTGTTATCCCCTTGGGTCATCACAATCATGGTAGCATTTGGGTAGGGCTCATGATTCTCATTGAGACCCCTGAAGATACTTAGGGCTTAAAGAGGAAGAATCTTACCAAAGATTACCAAATAAGAAGTGGCACTAGGACTTGGAGATTCTGGGTTCTCAGTCTAGTGCCTTTGTCATTTACATAGCTACAGCCTCACTGGCAAACTAGGAACTCCTTCCTTTCCTTCTTCCACTTCTGTTTTCCCTTGACCCTGTGATTTTCCTTGCTACTCACTGCAAGAGTCCCAGCTAAGTAATGGAGCTCAGCAGTAACCTGGAGGGGAGAGCAGAGTGTGAACCCAAAGGAATGCCACCCACTAAGTATCAGGATGCTCACTAACTCAAGGCACTCTTCACATCCATGTATCTAGTCAGTCCTCTCCTTTTACCACCTGCTTTGGCATCTACTAAGTAGGGTTTTTCCCACTTCCCTGTGAATGTTGAATACTGACCTTTCCTGGAACAGGGTTGCAGATAGATTGGTCAGGAAGAAGGGACAGAGCTCAGGTTTATGCGATTCTTTCACTTCCTTATTGACTTCTTGTATAACTGAGCTTATCAGAAAAGGCTCCCTAGCAGGAATAGGATGCATACAGGACATAGGACTTTTTTCATAGCTTCTGCTATACTGGGAGGGAGATAAGGTCGGTGTTACACATCACAGGTAAGAGGAAAGTTTCACTGGACAAATGGACCTTAGTCGTTATTTTTCCTGGTGCTGCAGCTCCAACCTAAGGCCTCACATGCTTGGTAAGCACTGTACTAGTGAGCTATACACCAGCACCTGCCTTAGTGGTTCATAATAGGGAAAAACTTTGCCCTACCCCAGGGACATCTGGCAATATTTTGAGATTTGTTTGGTCACACAATTTTGAGGTAGTGGTATCTACTGGCATTTAACATGTAGAAAACAGTGATGATGCTAAAATATCTTACTGGGCACAGCCCCTCTCCAACACAAACACAAATGCACACACGCAAACTATCCACTCCTAATGGCACACGGAGTGCTAAGATGGAGAAGTCCTGCTCAACTTCTTTTAGGGCAATTCTGTTAAAAGCATAGTAGTGGGTTACTAGGCAGCTTTGATTAGGCATCCCCTCGTGTCTCTACTTTGCCACCTGCTAAGAAAGCATCCCATTTTATGTCAATCACCCAGTGCCACTGTGCCCCCAAGGATGCCAAATGATTCAGTGAAAATCAGTGAATTAATGACACAAGAATCATAAAGGACTTTAGACCATCAATGGAGAGGATACCACAAGCACCAGGAAGAAAGCCTTGTTAATGACTAATATGCAAATGATACATTCAGAACCTCTCTAGAATCTGTCTACTCACTATCCTACCTGGTTTAAAGGACTACAAGTTTCCTAAATGTCCTCCCAGCCTCTATTCCTGCCACCTCTGATCTTCTCCAGACAACAGCCAGAGTTATGTTTTCTAAATGGATGTGGGATCTTTATGTCAATCACCCAGTGCCACTGTGCCCCCAAGGATGCCAAACGATTCAGTGAAAATCAGTGAATTAATGACACGAGAATCATAAAGGGCTTTAGACCATCAATGGAGAGGATATGTCCTGCTTACAACCCCTCAGTGCTTCTCATTACCCTGATTATCTAATGAGTGTGCTACTTACCATGACATCTAGCCTTGGCTTACTTCCTGCCTCAGCCTGCCCCTCTCAGTCTATGATCCTGCCGATGATGAGCCACTTTAGCAGTTTTCCAAGAAGCCCATCTCCCCTTTTCTTCCTTTACTTGGGTACTTTCTGTTTATCCTTCAGCTTCTACTTTAAACACCATGTTTTATTGAAAGCCCTACCTTCCCTGATTAGTCCAGGCTGTATTGGTTGGCCTGCTATATGTATGCAGGCTACCTATATCTTCTATCCTACCTGGCCATTCCCTCCACTAACCTGTGAGCTGTTCCATGGAAGGGACTCTGTCATTCATCGTCTGTTGCCAGTATTCATTGTTCTAAGCTAAGCACTGGACACATAAATATTCTTTGAGTGAAAAGATGAATGGTTTAGTAATACATTTGTCAGTGCTGAATTCCACTCCTCTCTGCCCTTCTTGTCACTATCTGTCTCCAACACTTACAGCATCTGGACAGATCTAGGATTTTCTTCCCTGCTACAACTTTATGTCTAATCTGCCAGTCTCTGGTAGAAATTTCCATTTAGCTCTTCCAGTTTGCTCTGAGTTGCTTGCAGTTGTGGAACTCAGGGGCCTGGCAAAAGATGGTTATCAGTGCCTTTGGGGTTCCTTATAAGGGTAGAAAAGAGCAGTTTCCTGGGGACATGGAGAATGGCCACCCCATTTGAGTTCTCTTACTAAGCAAGATCCTGGTACTCTCATCCTGGACAATAAAGTACTGGGAATGGAATTGGTGTGGCTTTCAAAAGACGCTGGCTGGGTCCTATATCTTTACTTGTGACTCCTTCCAAGACTTGTGTTGCACAAACTTGAGTGAGCAGAAGCTCCCTGTATTACCAAGTTCCCTGGCTGTGTGGTGCTGGCTGATGAGAGCATTCAGTTTGGTGTACATGCCTGGGTATTTTGCTTACTGGCCATGAGTCCATAAAAATGTCATTAAAATCTGATGAGCAGACAGCAGATGTTACAAACAAACAAACAACCAAAAAAGTCCATTCTGTTTCCAAATGAGGAAACTAGGTGATTCCTAGGAGCAGATGGATCATGCTAACTCACAGGAGGAGACTAGAAGGGGAAGTTCACTTGGCAAGAAGAAGGCATAAGTTGCTCATTCTATCTCCCAGAATTACAGAAGACTCTGCTGGTAAGGCAGTGGCTTATTGCCACTGGGACAGGGTTCTTAATGCAAAATTTCCTTGCTGCCTCTGGTCTCCATTGAAGGCCATTATCATAGCACAAACATCACATCCCTGTCTGACACTGCCTGAATCAATCTTGCCTCATCAGAGCTTTATCACTATCCCATCCACCTATAGAACATATTTACAGGAAGTGATCTACAACTTCATGGACACTTAATCCTCATCTGAGGTTTGTCACTGTTTCAGCCTAACCAGATTTGGAATACCTCAAAGGTTTCCCACCAAATCAAAAATAATTGGGGACAATACCATCTGATTTAGTCCCAGATCTAATGCTCATTGTTTTCAACTCTAATATCTGGTCATTATAATATTTATTGAGTAGTTATTATATACCAAATACTATCCTGTACATTTTACATTGTTTATTTTTCATAATTACCCAATGGTTGAGGTAGCATTCTTATTCCCATGTTACAGGTAAAGGAATTGAGAGGTTAATAAATTTACCTAAGGTCACATTATGAGACTAGGATTTAAACCGAAATGTGTCTGATTTAATTTTCCTACATTGAACCATTGCTTGTCCCATATAGAAAATTTATAAATTCATCATGGACATTGCAGATTACCCCTAGTTAAAGTCCCTTGTAAAAAGTCTTACTAGGACTGATGGGAGCCTGGTTCCCAAAAAGTCAGAGCAAAGCAGGTTCACTATGAGATCTACAAGAAACTAACTGTGTTGCTTCTCATTCCACTGTAACTAAGTACAGTGTCTGGTACATAGTACATGCTCAATAAATATTTGTTGAATGAATGAATTAATAACCTCACTCCCTGATTTGCTCTGAGCTTTGCTGACTCTAAGGACTTTGAGGTAACCTCCAAGTTCCCCACATGACCTGAGGCCAGGAGAACTGTTACTAAGCTCATCAGCACAAATCTTTTTGCATAATCAGACCGTTGCCAGGTCCAGATGACCAGAGTCCACTGCCTTTAATTGCTATTTGCTACCTCAAAACTTTTGCATCCCTAAAGAATAGGTACTGTACCTAGACTGCTTTGCAATAGTATCTTATTTCTGACATAGCAGGACAGAAGTTGGCTCAAAATCCTGATATATCTCTGGTTATTTCTGGTGGAATGTGGCCTTCAGAAGGTTATTTTACCTCTCTGAGCTATATTTCAATCCGTGTATGGGGGAGTAAGACCTTCTATTTGGTAAAGGTCTTCCATTCTGGATATGCCAGTATTTCCCAGAGAACATCAAGGTAAGTAAGGCACTGCCTCTACTCATTCCCTGGACAGACAGTATGCCTAACCTCAGCCTCCACATTGTTGGCAGTGTTGTTAGCAGCGTGTTGTGAGGGAAAAGGGAATGTCAAACACCTCTCTTGCTCAGTGGCCCTTCTCAAATCTAAGGCAAATAGTGAGCAGGAGGGAGCATGGGATGAGTGGGAAATGGGGAGCTCAGTGGCAAGTGGGTTCCTTTGCATGTCTCTTCACCTTAGGCAAAGAGGCCCGGGAGCCAGAACTCTGGGTTGTCATGGTGAGCACGGTGGTGATGCCAAGGCCTACACGGGCAGGGGCAGCATCCATGTTGATCCAGAAGGAGACCCAGGACAGGATGACGATGAGTAGGCTAGGGATGTACATCTGAATCAGATAGTAGCCCATCTGCCGTTCGAGATGAAACTTTACCTCGATGCAGGTGAATTTCCCTGCAAGGAAAGAGGTGAAGTATGAGGCCTCAGATCCTCAGTTGGCAGCTGATCCTGAGGGGCAGGACCACAGCAGCCCTATCTCTGTTGGCTGGTCTTTGGGCACCTCACTAATGCAAAAGCCTTTCAAAGTGACTTCGGGTAGTGAGAATATATGGAGTAAGAAAGCTCTCAGAGCAGCCATAAAGGACTTTCTTTCCCTCTCTCCCAGCAAGTTAGCTTCCAACAGAAGGTCTTTAAAGTGATAGCACAGAAAAAAGATAAGGAGCAAGAGGTCTCCAGAGTAAGATCGTCTGAATTTGAATCCTAACCTTCCATTTTTTAGCTGTGTGACAATGAGCAAAACACCCAAGCCTTTTGCATTTCAATTTCCTCACCTGTAAAACAGTAATGACGGGGGCTGGGGAGATGGCTCAGTAGAATAAGTGCTTCCTTGGCAAGCGCAAGGGCCTGAGTTCAATCCCCAGTTCTGCCAAAAAAAGGATTTTTTTTTTTTTTTGCTCTGAATGCCTTCAGGGCAGGTTTGGCTGGCTTGAGTTGTAGGGATCGAACCAGAGCAACCTGAGCCTGACTGCTTTGTAGAAGCAGCCACTTAAAGAACTGAGCTAAGGGGCAGCCACCCCCCCCCGCCAAAAAAAAAAAAAACAGTAATGACAATATCAACTCCATCACTGAGATCTTGAAAAAGTTAAGGGGACTAGGAATTTGAGGTATCTAGTACGTAGGTAGCTACTACTATTGTTACAACGTTAGTAACGAAACATTCAGACTCCAATCAGATCTTAGCAGCCTTGCTTGCTCTTGCTAGTACTCCACAAGTTCGCTCACAACCACACTGTGGGAAAAAATGGCTATGTCTTAAACAAGTGAGTAGAGTCACATAGCAAATATCTGGAAACAATACCCAGCAGAGAGCTGCTCTGGACAGTGGCAGTGGGTTCCTATAGAGAATTAGATAGCAGCATTCTGTTTCATCAATAAAAAGTGTACTGGCCCATGCATGAATGCTCTGCCCCTTTGCCAGCAATCTTCACTTTCCCATGCTTCCTATGGCTGTAAGGCTAAGAAAAGAGTACTGCACAGCTCCCCTCAGAAGCAGAGGCATACATAAAAGAAAAGTGTGTGTAGTCATCTCTCATTATCTTGGCGGGGGAGGGGGTCTCAGAACCCTCCTGCAGATACCAAAATCTGGATAGTCAAGTGTCTTATATAAAAAACAGGGCAGTACTTGCATATAACCTGTATATAATCCCCCTGTATATTTTAAATAATCTGTATATTACTTATAATACCTCATAATTACTTATAATACCAAAATGTTAATGCTGTATAAATACTTGTTATACTGTATTATTTATGGAATAATTACAGCCACATGTGCTACACATGCCTATAATCCCAGCACTTGGGAGGCTGAGGCATGAGGATGACAAGTTGAAGGCCAACTTGAACTATAATGACACTCTGTCTCAAACACAACAAATAAATAGCAAAGAATAATTATAAGGGAAAAAGTCTGCTTATACTCAGTATAGATGGAATTTTTTCATGAATAGATTTGTTCCATCATTGGTTGATTCCTTGGATGCAGAACTTTTAGAACTTGAGAGCTGATTGTGTTATTTTATTTTGGTCTAGGCTTACTCTGTGTGTGAGGGGGGGCGCACGCAGGGTCTCACTACACAGCTTGGACTCATAGTGATCCTCCTGTTTTTGGCCTCCCTAGTGCTGGGATTAAAGGCATGCACCACCAAGTCCAGACTCCATCGCCAGCTCAGCACGCCTGGGGAGGGAGGCTGGCATAGCATGTTGTGCCAGGGATCGAACTCTGGCCCCTACACTTGCCTAAGCAAGCACTTAATCCCCTAAGCTCTCACACCAGCCCTAGGCTTACTCTTATTAGGGCTACCTAATTCCTCAAGGCCAGTTATTTTATAAATACCTAATTAAGGCTCTGACATGCTGTATGACACTATTACCTCCTGTTATTCCAAGTCCACCCCACCTCATGCCACCACAGGCTTCTTGCCATGACGTGGTTTAATTAAGTATGCATATTCTCTCTCTTTCTTTTTATTTCTTTCTTTCTTTCTTCCTTTTTCTTTCTCCCTTCTTCCCTCCCTCCCACCCTCTCATCCTTCTTTCCTTCCTTTCTTCCCTCTCTCCCTCCCTCCCTCCTTCCTTCCTTTCTTCCCTTACTCCCTTCCTCCCTCTCTCTGTCCTTCCTTCCTTCCTTCCTTCCTTCCTTCCTTCCTTCCTTCCTTCCTTCCTTCCTTTTCAGCTTTGGTTTTATTTACAAAACTCATACTTGCTTAGTATAGAAAAACTAAAAACATAAGGAATAGTAATATTCATAAACTTACATTTATCAATCTCTTTTAAGTGTCCTGACCTTATATACTTTATCTCATTTAATACTATAGCAACTCTTTGGGACAGATAATGTCCTGAGCTCCTGTTTTAAAGATAGGAGTATTAAAGCATGACAAGATTAAGGATTAACCCCGGTTCCACCAAAAAAAAAAAAAAAAAAAAATTAAGGATTAAGTTGTTTCTCAAGGGCCCCAAACTAGTAAACAGTGTAGCCAGAATCCAAGTTCAGGTTTATTTGCCTCCAAATTTCTCCTATCTGTTGTAGCACACTACTTTAGAAATATTTAGTGCTGGGATTTCCTTCCAGGATTTTTTTAAGCAATGACAGAGTTTATTTGAAAAAGTAAAAATGAAGAATGAGGGAGAACTGCCTCTATAGATGATCTTGGGCCAAGTAAAGGAGGATAAAAGTACACCCTGGGCCAGGGAGATAGCTCAGTGGAATAGGCTCCTGCCTGGCAAGTTCAAGGTCCTGAGTTCAATACCTGGTACCACAAAAAAAGAAGAAGTTAAAAAGTACACCCTGGAGGGTGAGAGGCAGGCTATCATGAGGAAGCCCCCAAAGCCTCCTTCTGGGACTTTTAAATGCACATTCTTGGTTTGTTCTTCCACCACAATATAATCATTCTGCATATACAGCTTTGACTTGTACCTTTTTCATTTGTATTTACCCATGTGGGTGCGTGTGCCTTGATAGCATCCTTTGTAAGATCTGTACATAGCACAAAGCAAGAATAGCATCTAGTTTTCTTCATCCCTGCCCTACTGGTAGATATTTAGAATAATTCTAAGTTTGGTAATATACACAGTGACCCAGCAGCCTTCTGGGGGGTTAAAGTAAATGTGATACTGTAGAACATTTACTGTATTTGTTATACATGCTGTGGAGTGCCTGGATAGGAGAAAGCAGGCAGAAAATGAAACTTGTAGACTAAAGTTTCTCACAATACCATGTTTCCCAGACCTCCTACATCAGAATCATCATGGGGTTTGTTAAAATACAAATTTATGGGCATCACTCCTGGCACGTGTACTCAGAATTTCGGAGAGGTAGAATCAACATTTTACCAGACTTCCCAGGGGGATATAGTGCATACCAAAGCTTGTAAATCACTGACCTATATACAGATTGTCAATTTTTCCTGCATAAGGTTATTCCCATTTCTCTCCTCATCTGCATTTTCTCAGTTCAGTGACCTATTCCTCTATCCACTCCCTGCATGTCTATACCCTCACATCTATGTGCGCACATGTTCAGAAGAACCCAAAGTCTATCAACACACCATAGGAGAGGCCCAGGACCTCCCTGTCTTTGGGCTGCTACCTCTATCTCAGCGTCCCACCTCCTCACAGTCAAATGACCAGGCAGAAAGAGGAACTAGCAGCAACTCTTAGGGAAGCTACAAAGGGCAGCTGCTCAGGGTGGAAAAGCAGCTTTGCTCCACTTGCTGGCCCAGGTTTCAGGTTGAGAAAACAGGCCAGCTCAGGAGAGTTGGATGCTGGTGGCAGGGCAAGATACAGATGGCAAGCTTGTTACTACCTTTGGGCCTGCTCCTTCTCAGTTCAGCACAGACATTTACTACTGTCAGAAGTGAATTTCTCACCTCTTAAACAAACTTGGTCCTAGAAAGAGTAGACTACTCATTGTGTGGGACTATTTTCTCTGCACAATGTGAAAGGGACAAGAACATGGGCTTTGGAGTTCGATCCAGCATTCAATTCCAAATTTGCCAGTTGGTAGCCATGTGACTTGGACAACTGACTGAACATTTTGGAACCTTGATTTTGTCTTCCTGAAAAATGGTGTTGATAATCGCTATCATCATAAGTTATGAGCTAAAGTGTATGAAGCACATAGCATCATATCTCACCTAGGACTTTAATAGAGGGTGGCTGCCTTGTTCCTTTGCCTCCAATCTGGAGGCCCTTCTGGGCCTCAAAGCCAATAAAGAACTTGGTTCTTACCCGTGTTGTAGTTCTTGGTACAATAGCCTAGATCCTTTTCATCCCGCAAGATGAACTGGGGCAGAGTCAGCCCCTCAGCTACTTGGACGGCCGGAGCGTCTTCCAGCCACTCAAATACGAGGTCATTCATGGTGTAGCCAACTGTAAGTGACAGAGATGGCAGAGAGCTGCAGAGTGTGTGTATTAGGTAGGGGTAGAGGTAGAGTTAGAGCTGGCAGAAGACAACAGATAAGGAGTATGGCATGGGATTTGGGAAGTGCGTGCTCTTCCTAGAAAGGGAAACTTCTACAGAGGGCACTTGATTGGTTGTCTCATGATCCTATCCTAGGAGGGATGACCCCAGACTCATCTTCTACACAGTTATCAGGCTTAAAAGAAAGAAATTATTTTGGTTAAAAAAAGGAAATTATTTTAACAGACCCAGAAGGTCGGCCAAGAAGGTTGGAAAGATGTCAAGGACCCCAGCTGGAAACATAGTTAAACCCCAAAGGAGTGAGCATGTGTCCTGACCACATGTCTAAAGCTGAGCCAGCCTCCAAGCCAAGGATTCTGTCTCTCTACCTCAGGGAAGAGAGAGCTATTTATATCCTGCCAGTCATGCATGGGACAATGCAAATACCACAGACTCTTAGCCAGGGCCTTAAATTGGGACAAACTGAGAGTTAGTTAATATATGAACATGCCAAGTGGCTGCAAGTTAGCTAGCAGCTCATAAAGGCTCATGCTGAATGTGGAAACATTCACAGGAAAGGTGGGGGCAGAATCACCAAGGCTGCAGATGCACTGTAGGGCCTTGACTCAAAATCACTGTCTATGGCTAAGTTGCCTTTGGTAAAATGGGGATAATAGTTCCTCTACCATTATTTCAAAGCTGTTATGAAGGGCGATGTAAAAACTGGATGTGAAAGTGGCTTATAAACTTTAAGGAGAGGCCCACAGGACCTGTTCTGTGTATCACTGTCATCATACACCGAAACAGCCTTACAAGCCTTCTTTCCTGAAGACCTTGTGGATGTCTTCTGATCTTGTGGTCTCACATCACCCAGGAAATGGGGAAGGAACAGAAGTAGGTGATAGCTTGGGCTTGCCGTCCTTTGGCTCCTCTGCACTCTGGGAAGCCCATATAGGTTGACACTTCTGCCATACAGGAGCCCTTGGAGCTTCTCTCTAAGCACACCCCTCTGCCCAGAACTGTTGTTTCTTACTTCCCTACAATGTTTATCTGTGTTCTGGAAAATTAGAGTTCAAAGAATCTTCCTGCCCTCCCCAGCACTGTCACTTTATGGATAGCTTCCATGTCTTAACTCAGGACAAGTAAGGCAAAATTACTTCAGGCACTGTAAGAGAACAAAACCCAGAGAGAGAGGGAGCCCTTCAAATCACCCCTCACAGGCAACACAAGCAAGTTTGGTACTTCCCGTGCCCTAGCCCATGAAAGAGATGCACCAGCAAATAGTGTGGGGATGGGAAAACACAGTAGGTTGGGTGTCGGGAAACCTTGGCTTCTATTCTCACCTCTGCCAAGAATTGGTTGTACACTTGGATAAGTCCCTCCCCACTCTGGGTGACGTTTCTCCTGTCTAGAGTATCATGGAATAGGGTTAACTAGCTGTTTTTCTAGGACTTGTTCTCTGACTCTACAGACACTTACAGCTTTCCAGCTGCATTGTGCAGGTCTGGATGTCCATGGGGAAGTTCTTGAGGTCCATTGGGCAGGACAAAATGAGAGTCAATCTGGTAGGAACAGAAAAAGTGACATCAGCTTACTGGGGCTCAGCACCACACTGGAGACCTTCCTCCCACCCTTTAGCCGCCATCTGGCTTCTTCCTTTCAACCTCAATTCTCCTGGTCATCCACCAGGTGCACCTGATGCTGTAGAGCACATTCCCATTCTTGAAGATGCGCAGCAACTTGTTGTCTGTGGTCACCTCATGGAAGTTGGCCCCTTTCTCATTAGCAAAGAACAAGTCTGGCTTCCAGATAGAGTCCAGCATGGAGGGATCAAGGTCCAGGGAGTCATCAGGATATTCTTGGTAGGCCAAGCGTGGGTCATTCCACTGTTGCCTCAAGAAGACATTTACCCGATAGTCCTGGGAAGGTTCAGAGATGGGTCCATCACAGGGAATGCTACTACCAGGGGTCCAGAAAGTATACATGGGTAAGAGGGCAGAGAGGAGGAAATGCTAGGAGCCACATGTTGAGACTAGTAGATACTTTCTTCTGAAAAAGGAGCCTGCCTTGGGCTGATAGAGAAAAGACAGGAAAGGAAAAGGCCTCTATTTAAGCACCTACTATGTGACAGCCTCTGCTAAGTGCTTTATTGTATGCATTATCATTTAAGTTTCACACCAGTCTTGTCAGGTTGGAGCCATCATGATCTCCATTTTACAGATAAGAAATTGAGACAAAAAGAGATGTAACTAAATCTGCCCCATACAACTACTAGGTGGTAGAGTCAGAATTTGGACCCAGGTTTCTCTGATTCCAAAGCCTATTTTCTCTGCATCGGGCTACTACACATTTGATCTTTGGTACTAAGGCTAGTCTTTCCTTAGTTGTGGAAGTCTGGAACTAGGGAAAAATGTTTTCCCATTACTAACTTCAGCTGTGACCTAGACAAGGTCCTAGACTTTAGCTGTGACCTTGAAACAAGAAGAGAATAGCAAGTGGAGGAAATGTTTCCTGTATTAATGAGCTTATCCCCTTTACACTGGAGTAGTAGTGTGGAAATAGAACACCCTTACCATGGTGGTCTCAGTAACGGAGCCAAAACTGTTGATGAAGATGTTGCAGGTCACGTTCACTGGTGGTCCTAAAGGTAACAAAGCACAACTGATTGGCAGGGCATTCCAGGAAGCTGGGCTCAGTTTCCAGGACCCCCTCCCTGAGTTTTACATGAGGGCACTGCTGGAAGAAGTCAGTGCCAGCTCCACAGGCCCGTGGGCAGCAAGGGGACATAAGAAGTAGCCCTGGACGTCCAGCCTCCTTCACCTAGGCAAGCCCCAGAATCAGGAATGAATAGTATGCTGCTAGAGTGGCAAAGAAGAGAGGTTTATGTAGGTTGAATGTTTCTTACCTTTAAAATTGGGCCGAATCCTGGCATCATATCCAGATGTTCTCCCCATAAGCTTGTCTAGGAAATCAGAGGGGGACATGGGCTGGGAACCCTTGGTCCCAGATTTGACATCCTCTTTTGCCAAGGCCACCCTGGACAGGAGAGGTAAAGAGGTCTGAGGCCAGTTGTATTCTGAATTTTTTTAATGTATTTGGTACAGTCTTACTACACAGCTCAGACTCATAGTGATCCTCCTGTTTTCAGCCTCCCCAGTGCTGGGATTACAGGCATGCACCACTACACCTAGTCTTGGTGGCTGGCTCAGCGTGCCTGGTGCCAGAGCCAGCACAGCATGTGGTGCTGGAGATCAAACCCCAGTCCCTGTGCTTGTTTAAGCAGGCAATTAATCCACTGAGCTATCTCGCCAGCCCTTGTATTCTGAATTTATCATAGATTCTCTCCATCCTCATCCCATCCACCCCTGGCTGGTGTCCTCATCAGGCAGTAGGATAGAAATGAGTCTCTGGGTGCCAGTGTGCAAACTGAGGACAAAGGAAAGGGCCATAAGCCAACATGGTAACTCACCAACTATCCTAGGAAAGGGCATGCACTTAGATAAGATCTTTTTATACTCACAGTTCTCAATAAAATGGAAGTGAAGACTGTTATTTCCATTTTACAGATGAAAAACTGAGGTTTAACAATGAATGTCAGGTTAGGACTTAAATATTGTACTGAGGCCTCATCCAGTGCTCTCTTTCTGAAGGTACTTTAGAAGCATGTGTGCACACATATGCACACACACACACACACACACGCACACACGCACACATTCCAAAAGTGATGTTTCACTGTAATGTCTTGTTCACATGTCATAGGCAAGGCAGGGGAAAGGGCTTCAGGACAAATGGCATCCCTGAGAGTTGCTGTTGAGATATGATTTAGCTCTGGGCTATGGCCACTGCAGACAGGTGAACTCCAATATCTAGGGAAGCAGGTCCCTATGGGTGTGCAAGAGCCTCCCAGGATGCACATAATACTGAGCAGATTAACTCCCAACTTTCCCCTAACAGCTTGCTTTTGAGGCAAGTGCCAGTATGATTTTGCCTGCCTGCAAGCCAGCTTCCTTCTTCCCTGACAAGTTTCCTTCTAAGAGTAGCAAAACTCCTTTCACATGTCTGCTTACTAGGCTTGCCAGCTAAAAGACAGACCTGGGCCCAGAGCTCAACAAACCTTGGGAGGAAGATCAGAGCTCAGGACCAAGCCCAGCCTGCATTCCTGGACTTCTTCATGGTGTTCTGTCTGCTGTCATAACTGTGTCAAGCATGATAGCCAGCTCCACTATTGCCATGGCTGTGGGTACACTGTGGGGCTGGACAGCACAGTAGCTGTGGGTCCTAGTTTCCTTTGAGTTAGTGGCCTTTTCTTTTGCAGAAAGTCCACAGACTAAACCGTAACTAGTAGAATAATGACAGGCATCATGCTAACCACTTCATGTAGCTTATCTCATCCTGCCTTATTATCATCCTGCCTCAGCCCTCTAGGTAACAGGATTACAGGCATGCATTATTGTGCTATATATTCTTGATCTGCAGTTGGTTAAACCCGCAGATGTGGAACCCATGGATATGGAAAAATTGATCACAGATAGATGAGGAAAGCGATGATCAGTGAGGTAAAATGACTTCATGGTTATACAGACAGTAAGTAATAAAGCCAAAATTCAAGCCCAGAGTTATTTACTTGACAACTGAATCTATCTGTCACAGGACATGACACAAGCAACCCAGGGTGAGCAACCAAGGAACCAGAGTAGGGCAAGATCAATGGCAGCCCCACTGTGGCTTCTCTGTGTCCTACCTCCTTGAATTCCTCAAGCAAGAAGAAGCCCCTACATTAAGCACAGAGGCCTCACCAGACCTCAGCAAGGGTAATGTGAGCAGGTGGCCTAAGGCATCTCTGACAATCTGAGGAGGCTGGGCCAAGCAGAAGTATGTGGTTTCACCACAGGATGTCCATGGTAGCCAGGTGCTGCTGCTGCTGCTGCTGGCCACCTGCCACCTGCCTGATGGGAGATCACATGGCCCTGTACATGGAGAAATCAGATGTCTCCATTGTCTTTAGCCCCACTCTCAGGTCATCTTTCCCACTAGTCCCAGTCCTAGGACTTTGAGTCAGGCTATAGGTTCAGCTGTGGTCAGCCCAAACTCCCGTTGTGGCCTCTTCTACTGGGGTTCCTTGTCTGAGGGAGAACCTATGACTAGAGTCACTGTGTGCAGCCCTTTCATCTTCTTTCATTCCTGGAAGATCACTGACAGAGCACAGGAGAATCCAGAGCTAATGTTCTTTCTTATGCAAAGCCCTGGGATTGGGTGACCTGAGAATTCTGATTCAACCATGTCTCTGAGCAACCTTGGGCAGGTCACTCCCCCTCTGTACTTTCCATTTATATAATAAACGACTTGGACTCAAGATTCTCTTAAGCGCCCAGTTTGCTCTCATTGCCTCTAGTCCCCAAGCGCAAGTGGGAATGGTGCCATTAGAGCATGGCCCTTGAATCAGCCTCCCCTCCAGAAGAGCCACCAAAGCCCAGCTGGGTGCTCCAGAGCTCTGCATTATCCTGTCCATTATAGGACTTGTCATTCTACTTTAAACTGCCTTTTGCTCCTAAGTTTACTGTCCTGTTGTGCTCTGCCTGAAAGCCAACCAATAAAGCCACAAGCAGTGGGACAGGAAGCTCCTCTGAGGCTCTGGGGTACTCCTTGAATTAAGAAGAGGATGAGGGTACTGTGGTGGCACTCACTTGTTCCACCTTAGATCTCACTCCTTGTTTGACCAGCTCATCCCAAGCCACAGCCATCCTTTCTGCCCTGTTCCACCTGTCAACCTAGACTGGCTCGTATCTAACAAGAAAGGAACAATTGGGGGGCATTTACAAGGAACCCTAAGCATTCCTTGGCTGCAAGCCCAGGAATTTATCACCACTTAGTGCCCCCTGAGGGACAGTGAGCAGCCATGTGTGCACACACAGGGTGATTGCAGAAGGCCAAGACCTGGGTAGCCCAGCTCCATCCTCGTCTTGGGGCAAACCCTTGTTATCTGAAGACCCTGGAGCAGATAGCTGACAAAAATGTTGTTCTCATTTTTAGGGATCTGAGCAGTATGTGGCCCAGTAGGGAGAGACAGTTGGGTCACAGACTAGATGGCCTCTATTTCAGACTGGGTTCCTCAGCCCCTACCCAAGCCATGCATCCTTACTGGTCCCCAAGCTCAGAAAACTCTCATCCATGCATAAGCCCTCCCACCAGCACTGAGTCCCTGACATCTCCAGTGGATAACTCCTGGGGCCTGATTGGGGAAGAGTGTGTCCTTCCCTGGAGCCCTCCAGACTGAGTTCTTTCTGCAAACTTAAAGGAAACTGTGCCAGCTCTCCTGCTGTCCCCTGCCCCCAACCAGTGTTTGCATGCACCTCCTTCTCTCCCCAACTCAGCTCACCTGAGGAGGATCTGCCCTGGCAGGGTCCAGAGGAGAAGGAAGGAGAGGGTTGCAGGAGCAAAAGCTGTCATTCCACGGGGACCTTGGTGCCCTTTCTCAGCCTGGCGGCCAAGGTGAGGGGCTATCCCTGCAGGGACGACAAAAGTACAGTACCTTCCGCCAACTTGGGCTGCTCACAGTGAGCAAAGGGGCTGGGCTAGGAGTTGCGTGCTCTCTCTTCTTCTGTCTCTTCTCCTCTGGCCTGTCTTTACCAGTCGGGGGCCAGAACTGTTCCCCTGGTAATGATCCTGACACAGATAACCCTAGCGGCTCTAGCTAAGGCTCGCCTTGGGCTGCGGAGGGCCTGTCGCCAGGGAGCTAGAAAAGATTCTCTTTGGGCAGCAATCACTCTCCAAACCCTGGAGAGTCTTGGAGGGAGGGAGGAGGGAGACCAGTAGGAAGATGTTTCCTTCCCTCCCACCTCCCCCTAGATTCACCCTCCTAAAGCAGCAATTTAAAGGCACAGTCGCCAGCGGCTAGAGTGTGGTTCGGAGCCTGTCTGTGTGCCACATGCCAGGGAGGAGCTTGGGCTGCTGCTGCTGCTTGGGGAAAGCCTGAGGTGTTCTGTCCAGCCTCCAACTCTCAAGCTGGAGGAGTGCACGTAGGCGGTCCTGCTGTCCCCCAACCAACAGCTTTCCTACTAGCCTAAAGCCCAACAGTAAAGCCCTAATGATTTTTATAAGGAAAAAGACCTCACAGGGGGTTTTCTTAAGCTGATAGCTTCAGGTTCAAGAGGGGAAGTAAGGACGAGGCTGAGAGGAGGGGCAGCTTTTCCCCACCCTCTACATGGGAGAATAGAGGATAGATGATACAGAACTTTGAAGCCTTTCTATGTTATTAGCCTGCCTGTCTGTCTGTCTGCTTATCCGAAAACCCCTTCACACTCATAGTTGTGCATTCTTTTTCCTGGCTGCTTTCCTCCCTCAGTTCATTTCTAGGGCATTTGGAGCCCTCTGTAGTTGTCAGAATCCTTCCTTCGCCATACCCTTCCCAGCTTTGCCCATGGAAGAGACCACTATCCAGAGGAGACATAGCCCAGAGCAAGGATGGGACACCATGGCTTTTGCTGGCTTCTGAGAAATTGTGGGGGTGGACGGAGCAGGGACCTAGAGGCTGCAGCAGTACATGGAGGAGAGCAGAAGCTGATGGTGTCCTCCCTTGCCAGCTGCACTTTCACTTATGGCATCAGGTTGCTTTGCCAGATGCATGTACTTTCCAGTCTGACTCTTCCTCAAAATTTTCTGTGCGTCCTCTAAACAGCCCTGGGACTGAGTGACTTCTGCCCTCTTTCTCGCTCCTCTCCTCTCTTCCTCCTCTTCCCATTGAAGTTTTCCTTCATTTTTCCTTTCTTGGCCTTAGGCTTTCTGTTGCTTTTCTGTGCCTTGCCCTCTGTGACTGTCTCCTTTTCTTCTCTCAGTCACTTTCTCATCATTTGTTCTTTATGTCTGTTCTCCCTTTGGGTTTGTTTGTTTGTGTTTGTTTGTTTTTGAGACAGGGTCATCATACACTCTATAGACCAGGCTGGCCTTGAACTCACCATGTAGCCCAGGCTGGCCTCAAACTCAATGCGATCCTCCTGACTCAGCCTCTGAACTGCTGTTATTATAGGTGTACACCATCATATCCACCTGTTTTTTCCTCAGCTCCCCTATATCTTCACTCTCCCAATCTCTCCTAAATTGTAGCAGTGAAAAGCCAAAAATTTTCAGTTCTTCAGTAAAACTGTCCCACCATCTGTCTTGAATTTGAGTGTGTACTGGGGGGAGGGGCAGGGGTAAATGCCACTTTGCATGGATTGGTCCTAAGGTGACTGGAGTTTCCCCAACCTTACCAGAGGGGCTTGAGGAGATTGAAAGCTCTTACATGGGAGCCCACTGGCTATATAGAAGGATTAATAAGAAGGCATCAACATGTGGCACTGTGCAGCATGTCCTTTTTGCCTGTTATTATTAAGGAAGAGGAATTCTCAGACCACAATAAAAGAGAAAAAGAGAATTTTACAGAATAATTGCTGAGGTTCATGAAGATAGTTCAGTGGAATAAGTGCTTGACTGGCAAGCGCAAGGTCCTGAGTTCAATCTCTGGTACCACAAAAAAAAAGAAGAGAAATTTTGAAAAAAAAGAATATTTGCTGAGGGGCTGTCAAGGATAGCTCAGCAAACTAAAGCACCTGCTTAGACAACCACAGGGACCAAGGTTCGATCCCCAGCACCACATGCTGTGCCAGCCCCACCTCCAGGGTGGGGTGAGCAGGTCACAGAGTACACCTATAATCCCAGTGCTGGAGAGGCTGAAAACAGGAGGATCACTATAAGTCCGAGTTGTGCAATGAGACCCTGTAACAACCAAATACATTTAAGAAAAATAAAAAGAATACTTGCTGAAGTATTGATGGATGAGCTGAGCTTCTGGACCTGGGGCCGAGAATATTATGAGCCTTAGGTAATGCCTATGTGGCCCATGAAAGCAAACTATTAATCATCCTTGAAACATCTTGGCTACACCTTTACCTCCTTACCCTTCCTGCTGTTTCCTTTAAGCATCACAATCCTTACCTACTCTGTGGGCAGGGGACTCAGCATTACAGAACCCCTCAGGGCAGAGCCCAGGCCCAGATACTAATGGGTATACTGTCCCCTCTGTGTAACATCTCCTCTCTGACAACCTTGATCATGTCACATCCCTTCCTTAGCAGTTCCCCATTGTACTCAGCCTCCACCCCAAGACCCTGCATGACCTAGTCACGCTCCTCATCCCACTGATGTGTCTAGAGCTGACTATTCTGTCTTTCTAGTTCTGGGTATTTTGCCAAACAAGACTTCTTGAACTCCCCTCTCCACCTTCAGGTCAGAGTTAAAAGAACCCCTGTTCCTTTTTGCCAGGACCCTTCCCTTCTCACTTCTCAGCCTAGTCACAGTCTACGACAGTTGCCAGCTTACATGCATCTCTCCCTACTATGTCATGGGCTCCATGAGAGCAGTCACACATTGTCTGCCAAATCCCGAGTACACTACAGGCAGATAAGTAACCTTTGTTAATAGATGCATCTCAGCACCCAATGACACTCCCCTAAGCTCGCTGCCTCTGAATCCCTCTGTCAAAAAAGAATGGTAAATCTGAAGACCAATCTGAGGTATTAGTTTTTATTTCCTTGCCCCTTGGGCTTGTGGTCTAACAGTCATTTGTAATTCTTGGATGATGGAAGGGGTAGGCTCATGGGGGTGGATCCATTGCCTCAGGTCTTACATCCTTTGTGCTCTATGAGATCCCTGAGTGCTGAGAGCATGCCTGGGTCAGTATCCTGGGAAGACAGATCCCTCCTTGTAGAGAGGCTGCAGCAATGAACAAATATCTTGCTGGTGTGATGAAGTGATGCAACTTTCCTAAGGTACTCCTGTGAGCGGACTCTTTCAGTGGAGAAGAGAAGAGGGACAAAGAACTAGGTGAGTTGCTGCTAGGAGCTAACATACCTCAAAGAGTATCCTGCACTAACAGGAAGGCCCACACTCTCTGAAGTTAAACTGAACACTTTCTGGTCTAGAAGTGGATAATATGTACAACTTCGTCACACAACCTTTCCCTCTTCTCTATCAAAGTATGATGTACAGGAATCTCCATGTACCAAAATCTTTTGTACATTTTCTGGTTCAGCAACTGGCTGCCTCACTAGTCTGAGATCTGGCTTCATTGCATGCTGAGGTGGCATAGAACCAACCCTAGGCAGCATGTTTTTCAGGATGAAATACGTTATTTTGTCATGAAAAACTACTGAGTTGCTAAAGGCGGATTAAACATATTTTCATAAATATTTCTAGGAAAGCATCCATTATGTTTCAGCACTATGCAGGGAAAATTGCAATTACACCCTGATGACAAGCAGGTTTCCAAAAGACTTTATCTGACTAGCAGCATGCCTGGGTTGGGGTGGACATTATTTGTAACTTCAGTAACTTCTAGGATTGAATTTTTGTTGTTCTCATAGTATTGGAGATAGGACCCAGGGCTGTGCCCATGCTACACAAGTACTGTATCCCAGAGTATAATCTCATCCCTTTTTATTTTTTAATTTTGAGATAGGGTCTTGCTAAATTGCCCAGGATAGCCTGGAACTTAGGATCTTCCTTCCTCAGGCTCCTTGAGTGTAAGCCTCAGGGCTTTACAGAGGTGTCCCATCGGGCCCCACTTTAGGGCTGCATTTTTTTAAGGACAAAGTTGGAGAATCATCCGGAATAGCATGCAAAAACCAACTCCAATTACCCAGATGGTATTGTCCCTATACTGCATATCTCATTTTTGAAGTAGAAGGTAAGCTAAGAGGTCTTCAAAAAGCAGACCATGTCCCTAATCTTAGGAAACTCCAAGATCTTTAGCTCAAAATCACTGGATGAAGAAGTTGGAGGAGTTTTGAAATATGACAGACATGTTTAAAATATTTGCTGATGATCATCAGGGCCAATCAATTGGCCTTCTAAGAAACAAGGATGCTTTTTTGCTTTTTTTTTTTTTTACTGTGATCAAGTTTTTATTTTTCATGGCCATTTTCAACTTCTAAGTTTATGACACTTTACTTAAAATTAAGAGTGCAACTTCTGGTTCTCAAGACCTTATTGGCAGAAGCAGAAAGCTCTTTCACCTTCTAGACTTCTGGATCTGGGGTAAAGGGTTTCAGGAGAGCAGTAGTAGTGGTGACAGGTTCACAGTCCTAGACTCAGACAGGGGAAGAAGGAACAAAATCAAACACGTGTCAGATACATTTAATACTGTCTTCACTTTCAGAGAGTGACTGATTTGATGCTTCAAAGTTTTGACTTCATCCTTTTTATGAAATATTTTAGGGGTTTGGGTTTTGCAGACGAAATCTGGGTTGTTTGAATGGGAGGGGGCAGTGGAGAGGTGAACTGAACTCTTCTACTGCCTGGAAGACAAACCAGGTATCAGCAATGTCCCTGCTTTTGAGCAGTGTCCCTGCTTTGGCTGCTAGCTTCGATGTGCAGAGTACAACAGAGTGGGAGAGATCCAGAAAGAGAAATTGTATCAACTAGCATCCAGGTATGAATCATATTTCCCCTGCTGGACCCTCCAAATCATTACTTATCCCATTAACCACTTTAGAATAAGCTGTGCAGAATACCTTTATCAATGTTCCCACAAAGTTTACACCGTCTCTCCTTGTCTCTTGGTCTCACAAGTCTACAGTGTTCTTCTTCAGGGATGATAGGACTATGTCATCCCTCTCCTTAAAGATCAGTTGGTTTTTGATTGTTGTCATGCTCATGAATAGCTTCTTTCACTGATTTTTAGATTGTGATAATCCATGTTGTGTAAGGAATGAAGTACTTACATAACAAAAGCAAGAGGACTTGGAAAAATGAATAAGTATTTACTATATGGAATGAATCTAATTTCCACTAATTCATGCGTGCATATATTCAACAAATATGTAATAAGTGAAAATAAAATGCTG